GTCCTCATCAGAGAAGGTTCCTTTTTCAGTAGATTGAAATTAGCATAGAGACCTCTACAACTGATGATAGCAAGAAAGTGAGAGATTTTTGAGGCACTCAGCCCTAAAGAGAATAGTTTTTTTTTTTTTTATCAAGTGCCTCTCCTCAAGGCTCATAGATCCCTTCTTTGCAGAGGAGAAAGGTGGAAAGAATTTAAAAGCCAGAGGTAATAGATGACTCCAAGAAAATAGCATCTTTCAGACATAACAGGGGTGATGCACATATAAACTCACAGAGACTAAATAGACAAGGCCATGTTGAAGTCAGAAAGAACTCCTAGCACAAAATCTCTCCCCTAAGAAGCCAATTGCACTTGACACCTGCTGGGAGAAGAAAAATCATTTTTCTCCAATGGAGTGACACAGGGTATGTCAATCACATTCCAGGGTAGGCCTCACGCTCAGCAATAGTTGGCCCACACAAAACAGACACTATGTTTTCGGTATTTGTCAGTATAATGTTCTTGTGGAATGTATACAATTTACCCTTCTTCATTCAAATGCTGATTTCTCTACCCCACTATCTGGTTTCAATCTGGACATTACATTGTGATGCTTATTCTAAGCATCACCTGTGTCAAGTTTGTGCAAACATACCACCATCTGTTCTCTATATTGTCAATTAAACAACCAACCAGTCAATGCTGTACAATGGAAAATATAGGGTGGGACATCCTGGTCCAGAGAGGGGAAGAGAAGGAATCGAGTGGGAAGAGGAAAGGAAACAATCCACAGGAGAGGTCTTGGAACCGTGAAGAGAGATGAACTGGACCTAAGATATGACTAAAAGCAGGTATAATGTGGGAAATCTTAATGGTAGGAAACTATGCGGACTTGGAGGTTTAGGATGAAGTAACTATTGTCCAGCATTGTGTTCTGGGTTGATTAACTAAATCCTAGTCTCTGTGTGATGATTTGGGTATACAGCTGGTTTAGGACTAACCTCTGCTTAAGTAAAAGATAAATCAATAATAAATATTAATAACCCCAACATGTATTCTTTTGTTTGTTTTACTTTTTGTGTGTTTTTGCTTGTTTTGATTCTTTCTGGAAAGAGAAAGAACATGAAGTTTGGTGGACATTGAGGTGGTAAACATCTTGGAGGACTTGGATGAAGGGATAGAATGTGATTAAAATATATTGTAGGGAAATTTTTTTAAGCCAGTTGTCTGAACATGGTCCATGAATGAATTTGTGTAAGGAGAATTCCGAGAGACAGTGAGATAACTGCAAAGAAATAAGACAAACTCTTTCAACCTCTTTTTCTTCATAACATGGTTTGGTTTTGTAATGTGATTTTGTGCCCTTCCCATGTATAGTGAATAGTGGGTTTGCTTCACATTACCCATCATCGTACTTAAATTATTCAAAAATGTTTCCAAGGATAGGTTATCCTTGTGACTGTATACAGCCTAAACTCATGTGGACTTTGTTGATGACCTTGCTTAAACCCCCAGAATACTCTCAGAATATGAAGTGTAAGATGCCCTGAATAAAGTTGGTATGAGACTTTTAGTCTGCCTTATTTTTAGGTTATGCTTTCCCAGGTTCATGCCATACAACCAACAATTCTTTTAAAGGATTGATACATTTATTTTAAAACCTTAAATACTAGGTCACTATATACTTCTTTGGAAGAACATCTCTCTCTTTTGTGCAGAAACACTGAGTTCCATTCCTGGCATAGCAAAATTGACAAACAAATGGGAAAAATAAGAAATGTCCTTCAAAATCCATTCTTGAACTGCCTCCACATACCTCCACATACAACAACCACTTTTTCCCTCAAATAATACTACTTCATATTGAAAAGCACTTTATGTTCATCGGGAACCTATTTGAACTTTATTTTCCATATTTTTATTAGAATTATTTTTTCATAAAACATATTGTGATCCTTTTCCGCTCCTTCAATTCCTCCCAGATCTTTCCCTCTTATATTCACACCCTTTCTTTTTCTGTCTCACTAGAAGAGTCACCCTGGATTCTACTTGAAGTACATTACCAACATAGAACTAAGAATTACCAACTGCTTAAGAATCTTCTCCTTTGACACCTACAAACTTGAAACTTTCCCAAGAATCACATCAGGAATCCCAATTATAGGCAAGCCACATGTACTGAACATCTTGTGCTTTAAACTACAATAGCTCTTATTACTTTATCAGGTCATGGTTCCACCCAAGGCATCTGAGTAGCCACTTCACTTATCTCACTTATGGAAAACCGAGAAAACAAAAAAGTGTCTTAGTAACCTTTTGTGATGTTATCTGAGAGTCATTTCAGTCGACAATGCTAAAATAAATAATTGTGACTCTCTTATATTTGGGTACATCTCGCTGTGTCTTTTTCTTTAGACTCTTGTTTAGGGAATTCCATATTCATGATCTTTGGTTTGCTCTGTCTCTTCCTGAGGACATTTCTTCCTTAATATGTCTTAGTCAGTGTTCTATTGCTGTGAAGGGACACTGTGACCGTGACAGTCCTTACTAAGGAAATCATTTACTTGGATCTTGCTTACAATTTCAAGCTTCAGAGGTTTAGTCTCTTCTCCACTTGGCAGAAATCATGGTGGCTGGCAGGCAGACATGGTGGCTGGAGAAGAAGTTGAGAGTTATGCATCTGGATTCGCAAGCAGCAGGAAGAGAAAGATACTAGGCCTGGCTTGAGCATTTAAAACCCCAAAGCCCACCTTCAGTTACACACTTTCTCCAACTCAGCCACAGCCACTCTAACAAGGCCAGACCTTCTAAATCCCTACCAACTAACAGCACTCCCTAATGAGTCAGCAAATAGATGGGCTTATTAGGGCCATTCTTATTCAGACCATCACAATATCTTTCATTAAATCTTCAGTTTTTCCTGAAATTCCTTTAACTGTGGAATCTTTCAATTGCAGTTTGGTATAGGTGTAGGTCCCTCAAAGATTAGAGGACCTCGATAGGCAGCTGAGAGTGACAGTGTAGAGGTGAGTTTTGTTAACTTCTCTCTGACATTCCTTTTTTTTTTCTGAAACCTGGTTTCCATTCTAATTCATCTTTAATTCATCTTTGAATAACTAAGGCTCTCTGTGGTGGTTTGAATAGCTCTTATGTTTGAATAATTGGCCTATAGGGACCATTGGCAGGTGTGGCCTTGGCCTTGTTAGAATAGTTTTGGCCTTGTTGGAGAAAGTGTGTCACTGTGGAGGTGGGCTTTGAGGTTATATGCATGCTTAAGCTACACCCAGTGTGGAATCTAGTCTCCTGATGGATGCCTTTTCAATCAAGATGTAAAACTCTTGATCTCCTCCAGCACCAGGTCTGCCTGCCTGCACTCTGTCATGTTTCCTGACATGATGATAATGGACTAAACCTCTGAAACTATAAACCAGCCTCAATTAAATACTTTATTTTATAAGGGTTGCCATGATGGTCATGGTGTCTCTTCACAGCAATAGAAATCCTAACTAAGATACTCTCTTACTAACTTTTATTTTCTTTTATTCTAAATTTTGCCGTCACTGTCACCTCCTTATATCACTCTAATTTTATCACTCCCGTTCTTTTAAATTATTTCATTTTAAGAGTTAGGAATGTAGCCTTGTAGTGGACTGCATGCTAAGAATGCATGAGGCCCTGGATAAAATTCCCAGCTCAAGATAATTGATGTATATTCTAACTATATTTACACATTATTTGGCATACGGAAAGCACAAATGAATACTGAATAAATGTGTGCCTATAGGATTAATTCTAAATTCTAGTCTGACACTCCGAGGTATTTCAAAATCTAGCTGCTGGGGGAGAAGCTTTCATTTTTCTCAGGGATGTTGACCTGTAGATGCTGCCCATGCTTTAGTAGATAGCTCTACACCCATGCGTGTACTGATAGCACCAATAAGTGGTTTGAGAAAAGAATACATGAATTTAGAAGGGAGATAGTTCTGGGAAGGTTTGGAGGGCAGCAACTGGGGAGTGGATTTGATCAAAATACACCGTATACCACCTATGAAATAGCCAAGAAAAAAATTTAAAAATGTATCTACAGTCTTATTTTTCTAGCTACAACTTCCACTTCCTTTTCTAATGTACCTCTCCCAGAACCCTATGCTTCAGGCAACTTGCCTGACAACTTGCCTTTTCCATTCTCTATGTAGGTTTTTGGGAAGTCTCACACTCTATGTAGGCTTTTGGGAAGTCTCACACTTCTCTGGAAAACTTTCCTTTTTTAAAACATTTTCGTATCTTACGTGTTCAGGATTCACCTATGCATCCCTGCTCCGTGACACCTCACCGTACACTGTACAATACAGTAAGTTTCACTCTCTCCTTCAGAAAGGCAGGAACTTGCTTTTATTTCCTTGCCTTCAATGCCTCCCTCAGTAAACCTTTCATCGACTGTCAAAGTGTAAGCTCAGTTAAGTGGATGGGAACCAGAAGGAAGGAGGTCTTCCCCACAAGCTCAGTTTCCTGTTTTTGGAGCGTACCCTTTCTTCAGTTCACCTCCTTTTCCCTGTTTTTTCAGCTCCAGTCTATTTACATTTGAATGTCAAAGCTACAAATTCTCAAGGAGCAGCTAGAACACTTGACATTTTGTAAGTTAAATCACGTACAGTTTCTCTGCAGCCCAAGGCATTATGTACTAAATGATTCCTTAATCTATTGGTGGTGGGTAGCTGTGAGGCCCGACTCCCGTAATAAAAGGTACGTTTCTCATCTTTCTAGTTGCTTTCGAGAAAATTTCCCCCCTTTTGCCGCACATAGGACAAATATCTTCATTCCCTTGCACTATTCATAATTTTTGACATAATTATCTGTGACATATTGATTTAAAGTGCCGCTGCAGAAAATGGAACAGGAATGTTTCGCTCGGCCTTCTGGGAGTTGTAGTTCTAGAGGCACCCTGGCTGCCTGGTTGGCCCCGGAACTGCGGACTACAGCTCCCAGGCCTTCTCTAAGCTCCTACTACACAGGCTCAAAGCCACAAACCAGTAGGTGGTGGCTGTATTGTATCTATTGTATCCCTTGGCTGGTGCATTTTTACAATTCTCTAGACGTGAAATTGAGAGTGAAAAGCATGGCAGATGAACAAGAAATCATGTGCAAATTGGAAAGCATTAAAGAGATCAGGTAAGCCTTTGGCTGCTTAATGCAGCATCCTTCCACCCTCCTCGACGCCCCCTCCCTTCCCGGGCATCCCCGGGAGCAAGGAGAACTGCTTTTCTGTGGAAACTATCTATTGTTGGATTACTTGCAAAGGGAATGAGGGGAGGGAAAGGGGGACATTCATCACAGAATTACTGATAAGGTGAAGAATGAGGGGGCGATGGGGTAAGTTGAAATCAAGTCTAGAAGAGGTAGTTGGTAGAAGTGTGTGTGTGTGTGTGTGTGTGTGTGTGTGTGTGTGTGTGTGTGTGTATGTGTGTACCAGGCAGAGGGAAGAAGGGGAGATGGCGATGTCTTTCCAGATGTAGCTGAGATAGAATAGAGGTTTACGGAGACACCAGGATCTGGTCACCAGACAACTAACTGCATTCTTTTTGATACAGAGATGAGCGCTGCTGTTCGCGGACGCATTAAAATAAACAACAAACAAACAAACAAACAAAAACTTGTTTAGTACAAGTCGCTTTTCACTTCTTGCTTTAGAAAAGTGGAGAATGATTTTTCCCTTCAGCTTCATGAACCAGAGCTTGGGAAAGCCTTTTGAGAGCTAAATTTAGCTGGCCAGTCAATTCAGTTTGCAACTTTTCTGTGACTGTAGGCTGGGGATGCAAATGAATCTGGGGAGGGGGCTGCTCTTCTTTTAGTGTAAATCTTTTCACTACTTTTTTTTTCCCTGTCCTGGAGTTGGAAGGAGGTTGAGAACTACAAGAGCTGGAGGTCTGACAAACTGGTAATTGTCACACCTCCAACAGGTTAGTCAGCATGCAAGTTTTGATGTTGCAGTAAACAGTAGTAACTCAAGCGCTATGTCAGACTCCCCTGCCCTGTGTAACTAGAGTGTTTTTCAGACATATCGAAAAAAGAAAAAGGGAAATAGAGCATATTTTTGGACAAATTAGGCTATGATATTTAACCCTGACAGATTTGACAAGAGATTTAACCTCTGTGGCATCTGTGTGGGATCTCCACATGGTGATGCTAGTGAAGAATCTTAATTTCGTCTTCCACTTTGAGGGACAGGGTTTTTCTTTTTGCAAAGCAAGGAAAATTATAATTTATTCAGTCCCTGGTATGCCATCCCCTTCCCCATTTCAACCACTTTTGCAAGTGCCCTGTGACTTTTGTTGTAATTGGAAAAATGGAAGTTCAGAGAATTTTAGGGATTTCTTACATTTCTGAAGCTTAACAGTGCTACATTTTGACAGGAATTGGGTCTGCCTACAAAGGCTCTGTTCTTCTGTTTCCCACTGAAGGGCTGCTGCTGTCTTTTTTTACAAAGACATCAGGAGACAGAAAGTGAGATTCTTGGGTGTAGGAGAATGCTACCAGTGCAGCTAATGAAAAAATTAGGCCTTGTAGTAGAAAGCCTCTAACTTCAGCCTTCTACTCTTTATGAATTTTAAAATAAGCTTATATTATCCCTAGAAATGGAATATTTGGGATCAAGGTCATTAACCATTAATCCCCAGTGAAAATAGACCCCTTTCAGTGGAGACCAAGTCAAGAGCCATGACTTTTATTCCCCCAAAAGCTAAGATAGTAACAGGAAAGATTTAGAGAGAAGGGTGAAGTAACACTGTGGTAATATGGGCATAACACTTGGTTGTCAAGAAAGACTCAAATTACAAACTAGACTACTGCTGAGAGTATCAGAAAGCCTACTAAGACAAAAGATTTAAGATGCAGAATATCCAACTTTTATTGAAAAACTTCTCACTGTACCAATAAATCTACATTAATGACAAAATACCTAGATGCCAATATTGATAAACCACAGATTCAAAATAATCTAACAAAAGCTTTAAAATATACATCATGAAGATGCTTCAGTAAGAAATTGCTACACGCTGGGAGTATATAAACATATAAAAATCACAATGGAGAGAAACTTTGGACTTTTAAACAGTGTTGAAAATGTTAAAGACTACAGAGACACTCAGAGTTGGAGTAAATGCCAATTTGCATTATGTTATTGTCATGAAACTATGAGAACCAGAAAGTAAAATGTGTTGGTTTGAATGAAGATATTCCAAATAGACTTAGGTATTTGATACTCGGTTCCAAGTTAGTGGTGCTGTTTGGAGATATAGTGCAGGATTGCTAGCGTAAGCTCTTTGCTGGCAGTAGCAAGTTCAGGGTGTGGGCATTACCAATTTGCTCTCTATTTCCTGTTTGAGACTGAAGATGCTTTTTACCTTCCTGTTCTTGCTGCTTGCTGAAACGTCTCTCCTGCCATTATGGAATTCCATTCTGAAACAATAAATCCAAATAAACTCTCCCTTAGGATAAAAAAAAAATAAAAATCCAAACAAATAAACAAGTACTAACAACAACAACAAAAAAAAACATGAAAAAGATGCTAAAGCGAATCTTTAAAACAACCTAAAAATTCAACAGATAGATTGAACAGTAAGTTAAGACAGAAAAAAAATGAAACAGCTTAAACCTAAAATAAGAGAAATCACTGTGAGATTATTATTAAAGTTTATACATTCTCAAAGGAGAGGAGAAACAGGACAGAATGAAGAAAGAATTGGATAAATAAGAACTAATAATGTCCAAAACTGAGGAAAAACAACTTCGATGTTCAAGAAGCTAATCAAAATTAGATTCCAATAAAAGTAATCTACACCAAGGCATATTATAATCAATCTTCAGGAAAAGTGGGAAAAACAAAAAGAATCTTTAAAGGAAGGCAGCTGACAAGAAGAAATCCCCTAATTAAATGCATGAGGGGAAAAAATTACAATAGCAAATTCCTCAACAGAAAAATATCAAGGACCTAGTGATACAACATGTTCAAGTGCTGAAGGAAAAGAACTGCCAATGTAGAATGCTATGTGCAGTAATAATACTATAGTTCATAATTGAAGATATTCTTAAATGATGGCATTATTAGCAGAGGTACTGTGGAAGGATGGCAAAACTATTTAAAATAGAGAGAAAACAACTTGGTAACACCAGGAAGCACAAAATTAGTAAGCAAAAACATGATAGAGTTGAGTTTTTTTCTTAACTATGTGTGGTGATTGAAGGAAAATTTTTCTTTCCTTTTTTTGTTTGTTTGTTTGCTTGTTTGGTTTGGTTTTTCGAGACAAGGATTCTCTGTGTAGCATTGGCTTTCCTGGACTTGCTTTGTAGACTAGACCAGCCCGTCCTGGAACTCACAGCGATCTGCCTGCCTATGCTTCTCTGAGTGCTGGAATTAAAGGTTTGTGCCACTACAACTGGCTAATTTTTTTATTATCATATATTACTGTATAAAACTTGCAGTAACATTTTACAAATGTATACAATGTACTTTGATCATAATGACCCCTATTACTCTTTCTTGTTTCTTACCTTTGGGTCTTTTTCCTCTGTACTCAGACCTCTTGAAGGAAACTTTGTAACATAACTATAATATAATGTCAGTGTATGTACTGGAATAGTTATGATATTTTATGAATAGGGAAATTTAAATAGAAATAAAATAGATAATATGTTTCACTAAATTTTTCCGAAGGAACAATCATTTTTATCTTATAGGGGAGGTCCTCTTGCCCTTCTATTTGACCCTAGCCTATCAGGACTGGTTGCATTGTCTTCCTCTGTGGACTGGCAAGGCTGCACTCCTCAGAGGTAGGTGATCAGGGAGCCTGTCACTGAATTCATACCAGAGAAAGTCCCTGGGGACCCCACTTGCATAATGAGTTTATGGGATGCATCTGAGCAGGGGTTTTAGGTCATCTCCACACATTGTCCTTGGTTATGGTATCAGTCTCTGCAGCTCTCCCAGGGCTCAGTTGTTTTTGTCTCTGTTGGTCTCCTTTTGGAGCTCCTGTCCCCTCCAGGTCTTTCTATCAGCCTCTTCTTTCAAAAAATTCCATGCCCTCTGCCCAAAGATTGGCTTTGTTTCAGCCTCTGCTTCAATACCTCAATTAGTAGAGTCTTTCAGAGTCCCTCTGTGGTAGGCTCCTGTCCTGTTCCCATCTTCTCCTGCTTCCAATGTCTATAGCATTTGCCCTTCTGAATGAGGATTGAGCATCTTCTCTAGGGTCCTCCTTGTTGTTTAGCTTATTTAGAAATATATATCTTAGTATGTTTACCCTATATTGTATGGCTGATATCCACCTATGAGTGAGACATGTGTGTCTTTCTGCTTCAGTGATACCTCACTCAAGACGATCTTTTCTAGTTCCCACCATTTGCCTGCAAATTTCATTATTTCCTTGTTTTTAATTGCTGAGTTGTATTCCATTGTGTAAATGTATCACAATTTCTGTATCTGTTCCTCAGTTGAGGGACATCTAGGTTGTTTTCCAGAAATCTGGCTAATACAAGTAGAGCTGCTACAAACATGGCTGAGCAAATGTCTTTGTTGTATACTTTGAGTATATTTTGGATATATGCCTAGGAGTGATATAGCTTGTATTTGAGGTAGCACTATTCCTAATTTTCTGAGAAAGAGCCACATCGATTTCCAAAGTGGTTGTACCCAGTTTACATTCCCACCAGCAATGGATGAGGGTTCCCCTTTCTCCACATCCTCTCCAGCATGCATTGTCACTTGAGGTTTTTCTCTTTTTAATTTTTTTATTTTTTATTAATTAAAATTTATTCATTTTATATCCCAGCTGTAGCACTCTCCCTCATCCTCTCCCAATACTACTCTCCCTCCCTTTTCTCTTCCTACGTCCCTCCCCAAGTTCACTGATCAGAGCTAAACAGAGAATTCTCAGTAGAGAAATATCGAATGGCAGAGAAACACTTAAAGAAATGCTTAACATCCTTAGATATCAGGGAGATGTAAATTAAAACCACCAGGAGATTTCACCTTACACCCAGCAGAATGGCTAAAATCAAAGAGTGAAGTGACAACCCTTGCTGAGAGGATGTGGAGAAAGGGGAACCCTCTTCCGTTGCTGGTGGGAATGTAACCTTGTACAACCACTTTGGAAATCAATCTGGCACTTTCTCAGACA